GTTCAAGGCATCCTGGATTACAGAGTAGACCCTGTCTGAAAAAAGAAAAAGGTAGTGATTTCATTTCCTTTGGGTGTGTACCCCATACTGGGTATCTCAGCTGAGATATGTAATGTGGAAGTTAATCAAATTTATGTTGGGCTGAAAATCCAGAAAAGGCACAGTGTGGAAACAGGGTAATAGTGCAGAAAACAGTAACCACCCCTGAGCCAGAGGAGGAAGCTGGGGCTCCCGGGTGCTGTGGGCTGTGAGGCTAGTGTGGGAGCTGGCTTTGGCTGCCAAGATGCGGGGCTCTTTCTGGGGTGTCCCAACAGGAGCAGCAAGCAAATAGGACAAAACAAGGGCCTGTGTTCTCCTTTTACCTTTATATTAAGATCATGTGATTAACTTGACAGTGTAGCTCTAGGTTTAGTTGGCACGTGAGTGACTCAGAGAAATGAGTACCATTGCCCAGGAGAGGCCTGGGGCACACAGGAAGGAAGCTGCTGCGGCAGGTAGGTGGCGTCTGTGCTAGGATAGCTGTGCCTTGGTGCTGTGCAGGGAAGTGTGTGCGGTCAGTCTGCTCCCAGCCCACCTTTCTCTGCTTTGGAGATGGTGGTTGGGACTCTGGACAGCAGGTTTTCCCTCCCTGGCCGCCTTCCCTGAGCGTCTGTAGCCAGGACGCTGGGAGGCCCCTGCAAGGCAGCGGGGAGGCGCTGTGCTGCCGCATTTGCCTGTTGCTCTCCATGGACTCTGGTGACAGCCTTATCCTGGCGTTGGCCTTGGGCTTGAGCCTTGAGCTTATTTTCAGTTGCGAGCACAGCTCCTCCCGTACTGCGCCCCCAAGGGCCACCGGCAGCGACCAGGCCCCCACCCCTCCCGGAGGTCTGAGTTCTGGCCAACATCTCTTCCTCAGGCCCACCCTGATCGACTTCAGCTTTCCCTGCCTGATCCTGCAGTTACTCCTCCTGGGTAAGCACAGGTACCTTTTTTTTTTTTTTGCTTTTTGCTTTTTCAGTCCACTGAGACCTGTTCGCTGGCTTCTTTATGCTAAATTCTTTTCTAAATACCTGTTGTGGCCAGGTGTGGTAGCACACACCCGTAATCCCAGCACTCGGAAGGCTGAGCCAGGAGGATCGTTGCGAGTTTGAGACCAGCCTGGGCTACAAAGAGAGCTCAAGGCCAGCCTGAACTGCATAGCGAGACCCTGTCTGAAAAAGACTAAAAAAAGAATTGAGTAGTAGTTAACTGATTGACCTATATTACCTTTTTATGTGTTTAATTTTCTTTGTATATTTTTGTAGCCTATACCTTCTTACTTGTAGATTTACAGAAGAGCTGCAATGGTGGTACAGAAAGTTCTGTATGTACCACCATTCCCTATCCCGTTTCCTGTGTTAGCGTCTTACCTTTAGTGCAGTATGTTTGTCACTACTAGTGAACCAATTTCAATAGTGTTATTAGCTAAAGGCCATACTTTATTTACATGTTCTTTGTTTTTACCTCATGTCTGTTTTTTGTTCTAGAATCCTATGCAAGATCCCACATTACATTTAGCCATCATATCTCAAGCTCCTCGTGGCTATGAAAGTTTCTCAGGTTTTTCTTGTATTGATGCCCTTAACAGTTTGGAGAAGTACTGGTCAGGTATTTTGTCTCTATTGGAATTTGCCTGCTGTTTTCTTGTAGTTAGACTGGGTCATCTCAAAATACATATTTTAGGCCCAGGAAAACCTTACAATTCCCGAGCTCTGGGTCTGTAGATCCGAGGGGGTGAAACAGCCTGCGGGCCAGCCTGCCCCGAGTAGGAGACAGGCGCTTGTCTGCTGTCGTAGGTTGTGTGCATCCTGCTGTGTTTTGGTAGTCTGTGTGCGCGCGTGTGTGGAGTCAGTCCTCTGTGGATAAAGTTAGGTTTTTATAGTTACTTTAGCTTTTGCAGGCAGTGCCTTACATTTTTGTGCACGAGTAGGTCATCTGTAGGAAATGACTAGAAATGGATTAGGGGCCGGGGATATAGCTCACCGGCATAGACCCTGCCTGGCAAGCGCGAGGCTGTGAGTTCAGTTCCCAGTACCAAAAAGAACCAGCTACTCAGGAGGCAGGCCAGGAGGATCATGAGTTTAAGGCCAGCCTGGGCAACACCATGAGATCCTGTACCAAAACAAAGAAAGGAATTTGGCCTGAGTGTACCTACATCACATTTTGATGGGCACTGCCACATTGTCCCATGTCACTTAAGGCATTTCTTCCAAGTGGAAAGTGTTTGTTTTATGATCAAATAATGAATGTATTTTTTTAGGTATTTTTAATTGACACATATCCCCTGCCCAGGGCTTCTCGTGTGCTAGGCAAGAGCTCTACCACTGAACTCTGCCCTGTTTTTTATTGATGTGTAATAGTTGTACATATTTATGACATTCAGTACAATAATTAGATATATGTATAATGATCAAATTGTATAATGATCAAATTGGGATAATTAACATTTCCATCTTAAGCCAACTAATCAAGAGCAATTTTCCTCCCATAAACAGAATGTCCCGGCAGTGCTCCTTCAGGCACGTTTTCTTTCTTGGCTGAAACCTTTCAGCAGATCCCGAGAGCAGTGATGAATAAAATACAACAAGAAAATCAGAAACTGTTTTCTACTAAGAGAGTCTTGCGGGGGGCCTTTTAATGACCCTCTGACTTCATAGTGTCAGCAGTAGTGTTAAAATCTGATCTGTGCAATAATCAGAGCCCTGTTGCTAAGCTGCCTACCCTCTTCCAGAGTGAGGAGTGGAATCTGACCGGTACTGGTAACCCCATGCGTGCAGACACATGCTGCTTTGCTGCATCTGAGCTCCAGAATACATTAACAAAGGGTTTTAGGGGCTGGAGGTATAACTCAGGTAGAGTACCTAATCTAGCATGCATGAGGCTGAGTCCATCCCCAGCACTGAGAAAAAGGAATTTTAAAAACTCTGGCTTTGGTAATTACCACAAGCCCATGCCCCTCAAAAGCAGCACAAGTGCCTACCTGGCAAGCACAAGGTCCTGAGTTCGATTTCCGGTACCAAAAAAAAATAAATTTCATCTTTAAATTCTGTGATTAAGGGCGTAGTGGTGCATTCCTGTAATCCTAGCACTCGGGAGGCTGAGGCAGGAGGATCATTGCAAGTTTGAGACCAGCCTGGGCCACAAAGTGAACTCAAGGCCAGCCTGAACTACATAGCGAGACCCTGTCTCAAAAAGACCAAAAAAAAACCCCCAAAACCAAAAAACAAACCTGTGTGATTAAAATGAAGGAGTGTGAGTATGGGCACAGGGCCTTGGCCCTAGACCCAGTTGGTCAGTGGCTCCTTGAGTAGGTGGTTCTGGTGGCCCAGTGTTGGGTGCTAAGGATGCATCTGTTACAATTTCCACAAATTACTATGTCAGCCAAGTCCTTGTTTGCTTCCTGCTTGCTCTGTTTCCTGAGGGATTTTTTTCCTTTGAGGAAACACTGTAGTTGTAAGATAGTGTTCATTTTATAAAGGTGTAAAGAGCAGCATTCATTCATTCATTCAGCACACACTGAGTACAGGCTGCTGAGTGTCTGCACCGGGCCCTGCGTTCAGGGAGCGCCAGTCCTCAGGCGGGGGGATCGAGACTTTGAGGGGGCAGCTGTTGGGTTGGGGCCTGGTGGGGCCTCGGCAGAGAGAACTTGGTGCGTTGTAAGAGAAATGAGGCCAAACTTGGAGGGGAAAGGTGAAGAGAGGAGGCCAGGGGCGCAGCCAGCAGGCAAGCGAGGAGAAGCAGATGCGGATCAGTCCCCTGAGGGGACGGCGTGGGGTTAGCGGGAGGTGTGGGGTCTCTTAGAGGTTGAAAGAGTAGGTTCTTGCTGACAGTGGGAAGGTGGCAGAAGGGAAAAGGGAATGGAGGCTGCTGGGCTTTTGTAGAACTCACTGGGTAGGTGGCAATGCCGCTTCGAGGGAAGAGAGGAAGAGCAGGTTGAGGCCGAGTGGAGGCAAAGACCAGATCTGAGTTCCGATTTTCCTAGCTTGGGGAATGACTAAGATTCTAACAACTTATGAATCTTAAAATATGTTCGAGCCTTTTGTCAGGGGTAAATCGCTTTTGTCCTGCTCTAGAGTGTAGTGACATCCTCAGTGGGGTTAAGCCCGCCCCAGGACCACTAGGTGTCGCTGCTGAGGCAGCAGCAATTGCTTGTGCAGCTCGAGACGCCTGAGAAAGGGTCACTGCTGCCTTACAGGGGACTCATAGCAGGCTGGCCCTGGCCCTGAGGGGGCAGCTGCCGTGGGGACAGTACCCTTCAGTGTGATCTTCAGACAGTGACTTTAGGTAGGACAGAAAGGGACCAGGTGCCACTTGAAGGGGGTCTTCAAGGCCATGAAATGGGCATTCCAGTGAAAGGGTCCTTGGTGTAGGGGACTGAACTTTTTCTGCACAAAGGCGCCATTGGCATTTTAAGGACTGCCTTTTCTCATGCAGGCCCTACTAAATGCCAGCAGGCTTTCAGGTCACCATTACCAGCACGGACAGAAAGGCTGCAGGGGGTGCATATTTGGGGGGGGGGGGCCTTAGGCAGTGGCCAGCCCGAGTGAGGAAACGGAACCCCACCCCAGGGCTGCGTCCTGAAGAGGGGCCTGCCCTGCCTCTGCACAGCAGTGTTTCCTGCGCGGCTGCAGATCCTGCGAGAGCGCACACTTGGTGTGGCTTCCTGAAGTGACGAATCTCTCTTACCACCCACCAGGCTCAGGACAGGTCTGCAGAGCGGAGACACTCACACTGGCCCCTGGCTGGGCTTACTAATAACCCACTCAGAGCCTCGGCGGTGCCTCCGTGTTCTGCTGCTTCTCAGTCCCCCAGTGCCCAGGGCCCATGTAAGGCAGGGGAGCGCCGGGGCCCAGCAGCGCATCCCTGACAGGCGGGCTACGCTGGAAGCAGGACGCCAGCTTATCAGGAGTAAATGGGCTTTCGCAAGTTCCCTCGGAGTTCTTCGTAATTACCTGACAGTTCTGTACCTTTTTTTTTTCCAGACAATTTATGAAAACCGAATATACAGCCTTAAAATAGAGTGTGGACCTAAATACCCAGAAGCACCCCCCTTTGTAAGATTTGTAACAAAAATTAATATGAATGGAGTTAATAGTTCTAATGGAGTGGTAAGTTGTTTCTTCTGCCCTTGCTCATTCTTTGGGTTGAGAGTTCTTTGTGCTTAACATCAGGGCCTTAGGCTGGGCCCTCCTCTCGCGCCCCGGGCTGTACTGGCAGTGAGTCACATCGGTGTCTGCACTTGTAGGGTCAACGGTCACCCATGCAGTACTCTGCCCTGCTCTCTGCTGGCCACTTCGGGAGCTCGTTCAGTCCCCATGACAGCCCCATGAGGTGGACTTGAGGAAACAGAGGCACAGAAGTGAAAGGTCTTTCCTGAACTTTGACCTCCTGGGCCTTAACTCTTTTTTCCCTTTCATTGGCCTTGTTCTTTAAACTCATTTTTTCAGACTGAACATCTGTAGTCCAAAAATCTGAAATCCAAAATCTAAAAAACTTTTTTTTTTTTTTTGTCTTTTTGAGACAGGGTCTCACTATGCAGTTCAGGCTGGCCTTGAGCTCACTTTGTAGCCCAGGCTGGTCTCGAACTCGCAACGATCCTCCTGCCTCAGCTTCCCGAGTGCTGGGATTACAGGTGTGCGCCACCATGCCTGGCTAAAAATCTTTTGAACAGCAACATAATGCATAAATTTTCAGATTTTGCCAAGTGTAGTGGTACACGCCTATAATCCCAGAACTCAGAATGCTCAAGCAGGAGGGTCACAGCAAGTTCACGGCCAGCCTGGGCTACACAGCAAGAGTCTTGTCTCAAAACAACAACATTTTTTTTTTTTTTTTTTTTTTTTTTTTTTTTTTTTTTTTTTTTTTTTTTTTCAGATTTTATATTTGTTTTGTTTTTGGTGGTACTGGTGATCAAACCCAGGGCCTTGCATGTGGTAAGCAGGTGTTCTACCACCGCCACTGCAGCCCCTCCCCGGTCCATCCCTGCTGTATGTGTAGCTTGCAGCGGCTCTGAATCTTGAGGCCTGCTGTCTTGCCCTGAGAAAGGGTCAGCAAGCATTGAAGGGGTGTGCAGACACTAACACTGTGCCCCACCTTCGTCCTTGAGGTATTCACAAGGCTTGAAAGGAAACCGATGAGACATGAGCCCCGAAGCTGTCTCCTCTATGTGCGGTGTTGCCTCTGGGCCCCGCCCCCAAAGTCCCGGGCCCTCATCTGCTTTAGGAAATGCTGTGCCAGGCAGTGTCACTGCAGCGCAGGTCCGGGCCTCCAGGCCGTTGCTGTCTGCACTTCCTGGGCGTGGCCGAGCCAGCCCAGGAGCGGTACATCCTTTGTGTGCTGCTGTGCTTTGGGTTGGATCTCACCAAGGGCCTGTGTCACCCTTTCCTGCTTCCAAGTTGGGACACAAAAGGAAAAGCAGGCTGACCAAAGGGAGGGAACCTGCAGGCGGTGTTCTGCATGTCACGTGTCGTTTTGTGATCAGCACATTCACCTTGGCCAGTGCGCCGCATCCAGCTGTGCTGTACCTTCGCCCCAGCGTGCAGCTGTTGTGTTCGAGAGCTGAGAGTAATTTGGTTTCGTTTGCCTTTTTTGTAGGTGGACCCAAGAGCCATATCAGTGCTAGCAAAATGGCAGAATTCATATAGCATTAAAGTTGTTCTGCAAGAGCTTCGGCGCTTAATGATGTCTAAAGAAAATATGAAACTTCCTCAGCCGCCTGAAGGACAGTGTTATAGCAATTAATCAAAAACCGCCACGGGCCCTCCCCCCCACCCCCCCACCCCAATTCGATTTAAGCAGTCTTCATTTTCCACAGTAGTAAATTTTCTAGTTATGTCTTGTAGACCTCAAAGTACTGGAAAGGAAGCTCCCATTCAAAGGCAGTTTATCTTACGATACTGTAAATGATACTAATTTTTTTGTCCATTTGAAATATATAAGTTGTGCTATAACAAATCATCCTGTCAAGTGTAACCACTGTCCACATAGTTGAACTTCTGGGATCAAGAAAGTATATTTAAATTGATTCCCGTCTGACTGATGGGGCACATCTAACTTAACTGTGAAAAGACACATCACACCCTCACCTTGCTGCTGATTACACGGCCCGGGGCGCTGCCTTCTCCCCTCCCTGCCTGCCCCCGCCCCGGAGCCCTGGCCTGGGGTGGCTGGGTGAGTAGACGGAAGGTTTCAGGTTGCCGCCTGTGGGACTACTGCTGGGTGTGGGGGGTGCTTTGCCTGCACCCTGGTTTCTTTTTAAGTCTTAAGTGACACCCCCTTCCAAGCCATCAACCTGTCCCACTCTCCTCCACTCCCACCCTTGGCCGAAGCATAGATTGTAACCCTCCGTCCCCCTCTGAAATTGGCCTTCGGTGAGGAATTCAGGGCTTTCCCCATCTCTCCCCCACCTTGATCGAGGGGTGCTGCTTTTTCCCTCCTCCCCCCCTTTGTCACATTGTCGCCCCCCCAACACGTCCCACGACCCTTCCTTCCTTTGGCCAGAAGCCATCAGGTAAGGTTGGAAAGAGTCTCTGACCTCCCTCATCTAGCTTTGGAACCACATTCGTTCTCCACCAGCCTGGAAAATGAGTATCGGGTCCTGGCTGTGCTGCCCGCTGTCACCGTCAGCCGGTGTCTTAGCTCAGGGGTGATGAGGTGAACAGAGCAGTCGCTAGGGTCGTGCAGACCTGCCAGTGCCCCTCCCTGGTGGGCGGACCCGGAGCAAGGCCACACGAGGACACTCGTAAGCACACGCGGTCCCTCTGGATCGTTCCCTCTCCCCTGCCCGCCTCGCTTTGAAACGTTGAGGAAGGTTTACACGGCTTGTGGCCGCCCTGGCCTCCTCCTGGGCCCGGCGCGCAGTCTGACAACTGGAACAGAAGAACCGGCCCGGCACGGACTTTGGCTTTGGTGCTGCTGCTTCTCAAGCTCAGCGGGGACTAAGGAGCGGCTCTGTGTGCGGAGGGTCCCAGGATGGCGGCCTGGCCTCCTGGCCCCTGCTGCGTTTTCCCACTTGCTGTTCAGGACCACTAAATGCTGAAATGTGGATGCGTACCGAAATAAAGGCCATTCATGGTGTTCTGAAGGGTTTTTTTTTTTTTTTTTAGTATTTGTGTAAAACCACCTTTTGAAGCAGTAACTATCAAGTCTGAAAAGCAAAGATGTTTCCATTAATCTTTTTCTAGGGAAAACCTTAGTGGAAAGGATTTAACATCCTCTAAAGTTTCACTTAACAGTATTCCATAAGCAGCCTTTTTATTGTCAGACCATTGCCTGATTTTAATATAATAAAACAAAAGTGTGCATTAATATTTAACAAGCTGTGCCCTTCTTCCTCTCGGCATGTTAATTAGGGGCAGAATTTAATATTGCGGGGGTCACCCCTTTGTGGAAGAACATGTAGGATTTTCAGATCAAAAGGCAAAATCAGGACTCTTAGGTAAGTGCTTCTAAAATTAGAAAACAAATTCACACTCGTTTGTATTGGTAAAATTCAAAAAAGTGCAATATTGCTGGGCGGAGTGGTGCACGCCTGTAATCCCAGCACCGGGCTGAGGCAGGAGCCAGCCTGGGCTACAAAGTGAGTTCAAGGCCAACCTGAACTGCAGAGTGAGACCCTGTCTCAAAAAGACCAAAAAAACAAAAGTGTTTTTGCAAAGTCATCGAGTGCCTCTGCCCCCAGCCCAGTGCGTGGCACTAGGGATTGGACCCAGGGCCACCCACCTAACTACATCCCCGACCTTTTTTTATTTTGAGACAAAGGCGCCAGAAAGATGGGGCTAGCTGAGACTTGAGGTCCTGCCCCGCTCCCAGAGTGCTGGGGTGACAGGCATGTGCCATTGTGCCCAGCATGACTTTTTTTATAGAGAGAACATTTTACCTAAGGAGGTGAAGTAACATTCCCTGTCACCAGATCAACAGAACCATCCATTTTTCACTGTGTAGAAATTTAGGGTACACGGCTCCACAGTGACCCGAGATGCAAAGCTGTGGGTGCAGAAAGCAGCCCCCAGGCTGGTGAGCAGGGGAGCAGCCGGAAGCCCCCCTGTTGTGGCCTCGAAAGCTTCCTGATCTCGGGGCAGCCCAGGTCCCTTTGGGTGGAGACCCCTTTGGTTACAGGCCTTCCCTGGTGGGCCTGAACACATGTTCCACGTGCGGCGGCATGCACGGGGTCAGGTAGACAGACCTGCCCAAGCTCTGTTCTGCCAGCAGATCCGCGATCCCCGTGTCCTCACCCCCTCGGGAGGGAGGGGACAGTCCTGTTCGCTCTGGCCTGTGTCCCTGTCTGGGCGCAGTTCAGACCCCAGAGGAAGTTCCGGACTCAACCTCAGGGACCTGTCCTCCCAGGAGGAAATTGGAGCATTTGCTACTGGAAGCTTTGCTCTCCCCAGCGTGGGAGAAGAGATGCCAGGTGGGCTGCGGGGACGTGCCCAGCCATGTGGCATCGCTGCTCCTGGGGAGTGGCCTGGGGGTGGGGAGGCCCCTCAGCAGAGCCAGCTCCTTGCTGTTGCCCTTTCCCTGAAAAGTCACCCTGACACCCCAACCGTCAGGCCTAGAGACAGCTCAGCAGTACCTGTCGTAGAGGCGGGGTTTGGGTTTAGGTGCCAGACCTTGCGGGGACAAAGCAAGCACACCAACCGGACACAGCTGGCTCGGAGACCCTGCGGCCTCTGCACATGGCACGCAGCAGCTGGCCCGTCCCCCAAGGGGCTGCCATGTCCTCTGACCTCCGGGAGCCCCGAGGTCCACAGGCTCTGGGGCTCTGCAGACCACCGGGTGTGGCAAGTATGGGCACCTCTGGAGGCGGCAGGCCCATGGCAAGAAACTGCCCGGTTCCCACTGTGAGAAGAGGTGGAGGAGTATCATTTTTGGATTGCAGGGAGTTTGTCACTTGCATCAGGGAGCCTCAGCCACACAGCCAGGGTAGGACACAACCACACCCAAAGCCCTGGCAGTAAAGTGGATCTGCCCTTTACGTGAGGGGCAGGTGTGAACTGGAAACCCTGCTTTGGTTCTCTCAGTAAGGAGATTGTGTGGCCTGCTGTACATGAATCCCAGCACTCCAGGAGGCGGAGGTAGGAAGACCGCAAATTCAAGCCTAACTTGGGCCACTGGGGGACTTAGCGAGACATTGTCTCCAAGTACAAAAAAAAAGGCTGGTCCTGGGTGTGGTGTCACACACCTGTAATCCCAGTGCCCAGGAGGTTGAGACAAGAGGATCCCAGTTCAAGGCAAGCGTGAACTAACAACATAGTTGAGACCCTGTAGCAAAAACACCAAGAAAGCAGGGTTGGGGATGTAGCTCAGCACAAGGGCCCTGGACTCGATCCCCTGTACTGGAGAAGGTCCTCAGCACATGTGCGAATGACCAGGCCCCTCCTTCCGCCCCAGCTTCTTTTCCACATGAGTGGGACATGGCCTCCCTGGTGCTGCTCCTGGACCTTCCCACTGGGTTCTGCCCTGTGGTTTGGGCCTGCCACAGAGCAGGTCCCCGCCTGCCTGCCTCCCCTGGAGCCCGGGCCTCTCCTGATGGGCTGAGGGGGGTTCCCTACCTGTGCGTGTGCGCGCATGTGTGTGTGTGCGTGCATGCACGCACCTGGACCTGTGGCAAGAATCCAGCAAGAGGCAGCTCCATCCAGAACACAGACACTGACATTTTGACAAGTTCAAGGCCCCAGGTGCAGCTCGGGGAGAGCGTTGCCTGCTATGGCCAGGTCCTGGGCTCCATCTCTAGTGCAGGAAAAATAAAAATAAAATTTTTTAAATTTTCAAGTTGCCAAGCAGAGATCAGTCTGGGCGCCCCCTGCGGTCCCCCAGGACACGCTGTGCCTGCCAGTGGGGGTGGACGTGGCACCCTCTCCCGGGGAGGCCCATCTTTGTGGCCTTGGGCAGCGGGTGTAACGTGAATGCCCCTCTGACTCTGCTACTTGGCACGCAGACAAGGGGCAGGGCTGGTGACAGGTGACTGCCTCCCCCAGCCATGGTGGCCCTGTGGTCCTGGCAGGGTGGTACATGTGTGCAGCGCAGACCTGTGGGGACATTTTCAGCCCCTCCTTTAGGCTGGAAAGGAGCTGGGTGTGGCAGTGCACACCTGGGAACCCCCACACTCTAGGAGGCTGAGGCAGAAGGATTGCAAGTTCCCGCTCAGTCTGGACAACAGCATCTTAGCAAGATCCTATCTCAAAACTAAAAATAAAAAGGAGCTGCAGAGTTGGGGTTTAGTGCAAAGCATACGTTCAATCCCTAGTGCTGCAAAAAAAAAAGGCTGCAAAGTGGCCGCTGTCGGTTGAGTCCCATGGAGGAAGAGCTGTCAGAGCTGAGACATGGCTGGAGGAGTGCCTTCTTGACACCCCACTGCCAGGTGCTCGGGCACAGGGCACACCCTCCTGACCAGAGTCCCTCGGCAGTGCTTGAGGGAGATGCAATAGAAGCCTCTTACCTTCAAAGCCCAGTTGTCAGGTGCATCTGCAATCCCAGCTACTCCAGAGGCTGAGGCAGGAAGCTGGAGAGTTCAAGCCCAGCCTAGGCAATTTAGCAAGACCTTGTCTCAAAACCTCAAGGAGAGCTGGGCATGGTGGCACACACCTGTAATCCCAGCGCTCAGGAGGCTGAGGCAGGAGGATTGCTGGGAGCTCAAGGCCAGCCTGGGCTACATAGTGAGACCGTCTCAAAAAAACCACAACAAACAAAACCTTAAGGAGAGGAGTGTAGTAGTCAGTGGCACAGCACCTGAGCAGAGCACTGTGGAAACAGCGAGGACAAAGATGGTGGTTCTCACTGCTGCCTCCGCCTGCCTCACAGCCACCTCCCTGGACGTGGCCTCCCTCTGCCCCTGCCTGCCCTCAGGTTGTTGAGTCTCCTCCTGGCAGAGGCTCTCTGTCTGAAGTCGCCACCCAGCCCCGCCCTGTCCTTGTCACCGCGAGCCGGTCCGCAGCAAGCTGCAGGGCTGGCGGGGGATGGCCTTTCCCTTGCAGAGCGCGGCTTGTCCAGCTTATTCTCTGCGGAGAACTTGGTGCTGGAAACGATGCCCAGGGCCGGCTCCGAGCCTGGCCTGCCTCTCCCGTCAGGCCATGGGCAGTGACGGGGCGGAACCCCGTGTCCTGGGCCTCCGCGGACCCTGTCCTGTGCTCCGAGTGCTGGCTGGCTGGAAGAGCGGCAGGCCCTGGAGGGGTGACCCTCCTGGCAGGATTCCGAGGGTCAGGCCTGGCGGGGACTCTGCCAGCCTGCTGCCGACCATCGCCGGCTGAGTGTTGAGGGCCCAGTGCTGTCCTGGGCGCGGGATGGAGTCCTGCACCTCAGAGTTCCCAGGCACCCCCAGCAGGACCCAGAAAGGCACAGGCCACAGGCAGGGAGGATCCCAGTCCCACCTTCAGCCGCGAAGGGCGCCTCCATCTGTGGTGGGCTGGGGCTTCATCTTGGGGCTCCCAGAGGAGATTTAGGGGCCACCGCAGGGTGCCAGGGCCGAGATGCCGCAGCAAGGGCAGCGACCAGTGCAAGTGTAACACCACCCTTTCGGTGTCCTTCCGTGCCCGGCGCTCCCACTGCCAGTCCTCCCAGATGCCAGTTAGCTACGCTGTTCCTGCCCCGCTGCTGGGAAGAGCGGAAGGATACCTTGTGCCCCAGCAGAGGGCACCCCCGCGCTGCGGACTGACGCCGGCACCCGTCTGCCTGCCGCCGGCCAGCAGCTGGGACAGAAGGGGACAGATGGGGACAGAGGCGGCTGCCCAGCGGGGACGGCTGAAGTCACCCCGCGAGCCCGCAAGGCGCAGGACACGGGGTCCAGGGACGGCCCTCCCTCCTCACAGTGTAGGAGATGAGAGCTTTTTATCTTGTAAGTATTTTATTATTTATTTATTGCTGTGCCTTTGCACAGAGCTACATCCTCAACCCTTTTATTTTTTACTTTGAGTAAAGGTCTCTCTAAATTGCTAAATTGCCCAAACTGGACTGAAAATGGTGATCTTCCTGCCTCAGCCTTCCAGGTGTGTGCAGCAGCTCCCAGCTAGGTTTTTGTTCTGTTTTGTTTTGTTTTGCGGGTGTTGTTTATTGTTGTTTTTGGAGACAGGCTCTTGCTTTGTAGTTCAGACTGGCCTTGAACTCACAGCAGTCCTCTTGCCTTGGCATACCAAGTACTTTTTTATTTCCAAAGCCCAGCTGCTGGGCCGGGGTTATAGCTCAGTGGCATAAGCATGTGCCTGGCAAGCACAGGGTCCTGAGTTCGATTCCCGGTACAAAAAAAAAAAAAAAAAAAAAACCCAGCTGCTGTCCCCGAGTGCCTTCACAGGGGGGGCTCCTGGCCCTCCCAGCCCCTCCTCT